CATAATCAGAAAAACTCAAAACATTTTGTCATTTTACTGTATTCTGCATATGAATTTTAGAATATTGTGAGAAATATCATTGTGAGAATATTTCTGAGGAAAAAAAAAATGTTTTAGGGCATATTGGCCAATTCTAGTCAAATCCATTCCCTGGAACAAACAGCAAGGCAGACAGAGAGAAAAAAAACGTAGCAACAAAATGTACCACTGGCATTTTCTAGTGAGGCCCTACGACAAATTTATTTTAATTTATTTATTAAAAGTTTATTTCAGTTCGCAGTCCATTTTTCATTTTCTGAATCGGTTTAAGGGCAGTTCTAATGGAATTTTAAGCAACAATTGACCATTGAAGTAAAGAAATACTGATTTGAATTATATGATGATAATTATGAATATATGGGAAAAATTATGATAAAATATTTTGCCATGTGACCCCTTTCATGTCACTGCAGGTTGTGGTCTGAATGTAACTATTGTGTGTACAGTGGCTCTGAAAACCCAGAGCATGTCAAAATTAACACAACTGCAAAAACATTAACACGACACAAACATTAAGATGACACAAAAACATCAAAACAAAAAATTAAGCTAATTTCATTTTTAAATGTGTTGTTATTTTATCTTTATCTTCAAGCTGTTATAACAAGTAAATTTCCACAGTATGTGATCAGTGAAATCTTGCCTTGCCTTCATGTATGTGTTGTGGTTTTCATAACGGAAGTGGTCTGTGTCACGTGGGGCAGTATTCAACACACTGATCAAGGTTGTGCAGTATTCAGCTAGAGAATAAGAAATGGACCGTTAGGACTGGGTGGTATACCAGTATATTTTCAGAATGAGGTAGAGAATGATGCCGTACTATTTATATAAATTTATCATCCGTTATAATTAGGGCTCAGTTAAAAATTTTAAAGAGACCAAAAGTACAACTTCCTCATTCTAAGCAACGCAAAAGCTTCAGTCGTGATGTTGCACAGAATCACAGCTACAATTAAACCAGGATGCGTTTCCCAAAATCCCCTAACAACTTACATAATTGGACTCATTGAGTTGCATGGATCCAACTATGTAAGTTGCTA